TACAAGGTACTAGAAAGAAGTTATTGACTATTGGAAGCAAAGCATAGATACAAAACAACCACAGTGATTACCTTGCTACTTAATTAAGATACAGAAACTGCAGAATAATTTAAAAAACAGATGAAGAAAGACAAAGGGGGAAAAAAGAGATTAAAGTAAATGTGTGATATGGAATGGCTACTAGAGAAATGATGCTTAATGTTGCTATGCATTTCTGATCCTTAGCTGAGGCCTTTGTAGTCTTAATAGCAAGAGTGTAAAGAAAAGTAGAGGAGCAAGCTCAGTGACTGCACTGGCAGAGTCATAGGCAGGAGAGACCATAGTAGCTTGTCACATTGACAAAATTCACCCTAAAGAAATAGTAAGAAAAAAATTGAATGAAGTGTAATCAAATGTAACTAACTTAGCCTGTTTTAGAGCACATTTGGGTCTTAAAGAATACTGATTATATTCACATAATAAAGACTGTTTTCCATTTTCAAATTTGCACCCATAGTAACACAACTTATGCCTTCATTCACAGGTGGAAATTCTTCTAGCTTTAAGGGCAATTTTCTAACTACTTGAGTTGTAAATTGTTGTGTTAAGTAAATGCTTTCTCCAGTGAGAGGCCCCCAAAGGCTTTCTCACTACAGCAGTCTCACAGCTTCCTAAGCACTTAGAAGTCACCAGTCCTGAAAACCTTCTGAGTACATTTGCATAAAATATACCCTTTCCCTTCTATTTCTTGCCTCACACTTTACATCTTTTTCATACTGCATACTAGACCACTAATAAAGTACAATTTTCAGAAAGCATGATCAGATCTAACAAGCACGTGAAATATATGAGGACTTAAATCCATGGTTTCCCTGTTCATCTACACTAGCTTTGAATATTTAAGTAATAAGTGAATGGTAATTTGCGATGTTTTCCTTTCAGAACTTATGAAGTTCTTAAGAAGTGCCAAAGTTATTAATACTAATGTTGAATAAGCTAAAAGCAGAAAAGCAGTCTCCATAAATGCTAAGTTAGAAAGAGGTGAGGATGAATATCAGACCTCTGGAAAACATCTGGAAGCAGGCTGTGAGTTGTAGTCAAAGCTGAATAAAATAACTGAGAAAAAAGTGGTGGAATGATTTATTTCTGAACCTTTGGTTTCTGGGATGGAATGTCACATGAACAGATATTTTAAGGATCTCCTCTGTGCTCAGGACAGGTTATTTTTCACATTTACATGGGCGTAATAAGAGTCTCAGAAGGCCAATTTTAAATATGAGAGCTGCTCTGAAAGTAATGCCTCCTACTTTATTATGTTGGCCCACAACATCTGAGGCGGATGTTGGTGGTATGGCAGTAGAGGTTGAACCTTCCCACCAATACTCCATTACATTTTGTTGCTGTGTGACAATGATAGCAGAGGGATAGCCTGACAAAATGCTGTCTGCCACAGAAGTGTGTCTGAAGAAAGGTATGTCACTGAATTTCTCCATGCAGAAGAAATTGCACCCACTGACATTCACTGACAGTTGCTGAACATTTATGGGAACCAAACAGTGGATGTTATCCCAGTGAGGCCGCTGGTGGTGTGTTTCAGCAGTGGCAACAGCAATGTGAAAGACAAGCCATGTTCCAAATGGCCATGCAGACCTTTACCAGGGCAACATGTAGACTCTTGTTCATTGCTGGTAAAAATGAATCACTAACAGCAGTGACCATGTTGAAAAACAGTGTTTTGTAGCTGAGAATTTGCTCTAGCAAACAGTGTTACTGTACTCTTTGTTGCAGTTTCCATGGACATTACTAGAAGGCATTACTTTTGGAGCAACCTACATATATGCACAACATTCCCACAGGTACACAATTTGATTCAGACTCCAGGTCTTATGAGAGCTAGTTACTTTTCTGTGTAGATGCAGTATAGTCAGACATGTCTTGGAGTTAAAGGATATGGTAATTTGTCCACATAAAAATACTGAATTAAGACCTCCACAGAAAATCTGTAACAAGTGTGTGAACTGGGAAATTATGCTGGAAACAAACAGAAAGCCAGTAATACTAGACAGGAAAAGACACACACTTTGCTTAGTTTGCCACAGAGAGAAAAGAATAACTATATCCTAGTTATGAGGAAAAAAAGAGCAGAGCAGTACTCTGTCCAGTCCATTAAACTTAATGATTTTACTAACATTTTTAGAACTTTCAAATATCCAGCAGGAAGGGAGAGCCGTTATATCCAAATGAAGAGAAATTGGATGTACTAGTATTAAAACAAGTCATGTTGCATTCCATATGAACACATGGAATGAAAATGTATTTTATTGCAAGAAAAAACACAGAATATTTTTTTAAAAAGTAATTAAAAGCTTTAGGAAAATTCCAATGTGCACTGTTAAGAGAGTTAACGTAATGAGGGGAGTTACAGCTGCCTGCTGAATGACTGTGCAAAATGGAAGTTATCTATATATGCTGAGTTACTTCAAAATGAAGTTTTCATCTCAGATTAAGTATTTTCAAAAGTAAGCTGGGTTGAAAGTCATGAATTCCTTACTAAAGCAGTATGGAGAACAGAAACCAGGACTGAAATTCTCCAGAGTAACAGTAGCCAGTAAAATATTCAGTTTATTTTTGGTAGAACTGTATTTCCATTACCATAGAATAAGACCAGTTGAAACAAAGCAGACAATGAAGACACTTAGGACATTACACTAACAGCCAAAGAGATGTACATAGCATTTATCCATGCTGCCTGTCTTATCTGTTGGCAATTCACATCCAGGCAAGATTGCTTAAAGATACTGCATGTAACTTTGATGCTTGAGTAAATCCTAGCTAACGTCCTACAAATTTTTCTAATGTTCTGATGACACTGTCTTCATCCATTTATTCACTTTCTGTGTAGGACTCTCATCACTCTCGCAATATAGCTATTAATATTCCTTGTTTTCCCATACTTGTGAAGACCAGATTTCAGGAATCTGAACTTTTAATTTCTGTTTGGTTACAGTTGTAGGAATAATTTGACTGTTAATGGCTGATTTTTTTATAAGAATTTTTAAAACAAACAAAACAAACAAAAACAAACAAACAAAAACAACAACAACAAAAAACAACCAGGAAGGTTAGATAATTCATCTTTACCCTAAATAATTTTCACATTTTTCTTACTAAAGTGGATATCCTCCAAGATGAATTGAATGAAATATTACTTTCAAATAAAAGTTAAAAACTTTCTCTCTTCAAATTTTGATAAATTTTGAAACAAAACAAAAAAAAAATCTGGCTTTCAACAGCCTCTACTGCTCAACCTAAATAGTTCAGAGAACTTAACAAGAATTTGCAAATGATTTCTTTCCAGGAGCAAATCCCAAGCTCCCCATTTATTGGATAAATGAAACATCTAGCAGAAAAACAGTGCCTAGATCTGGTTTAAATAGCAAGCATTACTTTCCATTTCTGTTCCTCTCCTTCCACCTATTACTGCACTTATTTCACAGCTTTTTCAATTCACAAATTTATTTAATTTGAAAACTCCTATTAAAATTTGACTTGCCCAGCAACCAGCACTTAATGAGGATTTGCTCCTCTTTGAATTTGGAGAAGAAATTTCTAAGATCATTTGTCGTACCCAAGCACAACAGAAAACCTCAAACTGCAGGTCTTTTTGTGCACTGTACCTCTCATCTCTTCTGCCTCTTGTGTTGAATACCCTGTTCTACTCTTTGTCATGTCCATGTCCCACAGCACCCTCAAGGAGTGGTGTTTCCAACTCAGAGCAATTACTCCTTAACATACATAGGATAATTCTCTGCAATGTTATGGTTCAGTCTTCTCTTTGCAAGCAAGAGAGTTCTTACTTAATAAGAAAAACATCCGACTCACAAGATCTACATACATATCTCCACCCTAAAAGCACCAATTTCTGCCACGTTACCAAGGAAATGAGTACACAGTTAATCATGATGAATAAAACATAGTCCTCTCCATCTTTCTGTCTTTGTCTGTCAGTCCTACAGACAAGAAGCTTCTGACTGCACTTCTGTACAAGTTTTTGGGATGAAACAAAATAATTGAGCAGAAATATTCATTCTGACAACAGTGTCCAATTGAAGGGGATTTAAGTTGCTGTAATTGAAAAGCACGGGACATGTTGTTGACTGAGTTAATCTCTAGGCCTCAGAAACTGAAGATTAGAATTGCAGGCACCCAGAGGTCAGCAGATTTCTCGTGTCTTTCTCTGTGTACCCTACAGTGTTCTGTTAACATTTTGCAATAGATTCAGCAGCTAAGTTTTCTGGGGTGTGTGTAAGAGCGACCGCTTCCTGTGGTGACCGTTGTGTTTCCTGTTTTCTCAAGGCTGATGGAGACGAACTGGCGCGGCTGCTGATTTTGAAACAGGGGCAGCTGCATGATAGTCTTGTGAGAGCTCAGAATGAATCACCATCCCATCCTTACAGAAAAATCCCGAATCTTTCCAGAGTTGGAACTCTACCTCTGGTGGTGGTGGGCTACCTACTTACGCACTGCAAAGTGTCTGGGGAATGTTCAGAACGCCAAATAGTCAGAAGTCGAGAGACAGACCACAGTGGGTCATGAGACCGGTCCAAAAATCATAAAACTTTTGGAAAAGATTTTTTTCTGTTCACTGAATACAGTCCATTCTCTGCAACAACATTTTTTTTTTATACGAGAATCACGATGCATCACAAGACTTTGAAAAACAACCACAAGCCAGTAAAAGTGGATGGACAGGAAGGCTGTTACTGAAACAGAGAAATACCTTTACACAGACATTTGGTCAAAAAATATTCAAACCATTGGAGGGTTCAAGGATACACTAAGTTCAGTTTGTTGATAGAAGAACCTATTTTGGTAAAAGACAGGAAAGGAATATAAATTGACCAAAAAAAAAAAAAATCCTCTGATGTAACATAAAGGATGCAGAACAAATCTATCCTGTTACAACTTTCCTCGACTGGTATTATTAAAACTTTCATATCAATATCAGACATTCTTCATACCTATTTACAATATAAGCAGGATCATTGTGAAGGCTTCCCTGAACAGAACACTCTTAAAACTGAAATGAATAGTTGAAGCACCTGCTTAATAGACACAAACAAAAAACAAAACAAACAAACAAACAAAAAACCTTTAAATTCATACTGTACTTTGAGATCCAGACTCACATTGGCCCCTAGATTGTCTGGAAATTTGAGGCTAACACCTGTTTGCTTAACATATGCTTGAGAAATCTTGCAGAGACAAGATGATGTACATTTTACCATGCACGAAGCTCACTGAATTAAACAGTAGACTTTCCTCTGTGATTTAACTCATCTGTCACAGCATCAGGCTTTTTTGACAAACTAACCTAACTTTTTTTTTTAACCTTTTTCAGTTCAGATTCAAGCTTCCCTGCCTGCTCCAGACAGTTTCACAATTACAACCTCAATTCACTGCTGTTGTCTTCACCACCATGCCCCAAAGCAGACCAGGTCTACCTTGTGGAAACAATAATTACACCAAATGAAAAGGAGACAGTGAGAAAATGCAAACCTAGAAAACCTCTCTTAATTCTGAAAAGAGCAACATCAGAATGCAGGGTTGGTGGGCCCCTTCTGGGGAGCTATGTATGGTCCTGACATTTGGGGCTAGACCAGAGAGGAACAGAGACTTCTTTTCAAACAAATATCTTTGTTACTCCTTGAACTCGCTGTAAATCTCCTGCCTCAAAGTGATCATATGCTTAATTCAACTGATTTCCAAATGTTAATATGGCGCTGGATGCTTTTAATAGACTTAAGAGAGAATGCCTTTTTATATTCCATTACCTATAGGCTAAAACCCTTGCAGTTAATTACAGATCTTCTTTGACCACACACTACACTGTCTAAAACATTCCAAAATACTTTCCACTTCCTGGACCTTTCCCCTTTCCTGCTCTTGCCTGCTCCTCTGTTACCTTTAACTGTGTTTTACACAAATATTTAATAGAGATTAATGTCCTCTTGCTTTATGAACTCTTGCCAGGGGCCTGCCCTGAGTCCTTTCACAGAGAAGTGAATATGAAAGAGCTTGGGTTCCTCTCTCTGCACGGCAGAGTTTCACTTTCACCTGTTTTCACTGACGGGGTTAATCTGAAGCTATTTGAGCTCAAGTATAGTGTTCCTGAGTTCCCAGCTCATATGACAAAAACATTCACTCTGCTGGAGAATGCAAGAAATAAGGACAAACCTCTAGATATCTTCCTGTTGTGGCTCAGTGTCTCTACTCTCATGTGATGGTTTCTCCAACTCCATTCTTTTCTGAAAATCTCACCAAGCTTGTTTAGCAGTATCTACACAGGGTTTTGTGAAGAAAATACTAGAATAAGAAATGGCAAATCCTAGTCTTCTTCACCGTACCACTAAGCAAAACTCTTCTGTGAATAATTTTGAATTATTAGATGACATTTATTTTTTCCTTCCTGGCTTAAAACCAGAATTACTACAGTTCTCAATCACATACATCATTAAATGCCTGTCACAATGCTCATTTTTTAGCTACTATTGCTCTTGCAGGGCAATTCCTTTTAACCTCATCTGAGGTGTTCACAAACTATGGAAGCAGTATGGAGAGACAGTTCTCAGGGGAGGAAATCCAATGCTAAAAGACATGGAGGGTGGCAAAATAGAACACACACCAGTTTTGGATGACATGATGAATTATGCTAACTTCTGAAAAAAAATATAATAGTGTTTTTTGGAACTGAACAGGAGGGATCAAATCACATTATGTTGTAGTTATTCATGTCCAGCACTGGCTCAAAAACTTCTTCATGAGGAAATAGGCCTTCACAGACCTATGTGATAAGCCTGCCCTGTTCTTTAGAACTGCATTCCACGAATGGCAGAGTTCATATTGAGCAGAGAGGCTAGGCTGCTATGTGGAAACTGGCTATCCAAGACTACTATGAGTCCATGGCTAACCATCAAGTCAACTGTCAGTCTGGTAGGAGGAGTGGGGGAGGAGGGTTGCAGTTCTGTTGTGAAAGTTGTTTATCCACTGATTATCAGCAGGATGAACATACGTGAAATAACAGCAGGTTTTTACAGAAGGAGCCTCAAAATTGTATTATAGTTAAAGATGATGTACTGTGTCCGCATTTGGAGCTTCAGTAGAGTGAATAAGTTAACTAAAAACAATCCTCCTCTTCTCATCTTCAAGGCTTGATAAATGTAGACTGACGAACACCAGTGTGGACAGTACTAGCAAAGTGTGGGATGTAGGACTTCTAAGGATATCACGCACTTACACTGTAGGACACCCTGGAAACTCACTGTTTCTCACAGAGATAGGCATCAAAAGAGTTCACTCTGGACACTGTTAGTCTGCAGTCTTGTTCTTTCACATAGTGTTAGAGTTTTTGCTTCAGATGGTCAAGTTGCATGTGCATGAATACAAGTGCAAGTTTGTAGCTATCAGTTAGATATATCTTCAGTCTGTTAAGGAGGAAAAGTTGCGGTGACAGAATTTCCTCGAATTAACAAATTCATATTACTGAACAAAAGGAGTAGCAAAATTCAGCTGTAAAGTGTTGCAAAGGCTATTTCTGATTATTTTATGAATAGTTTTACTTGCAATTGAAGGGAAATTAACAAAGGGAAAAATGACTGAATAAATACTTTCCTGAAATTCCTTTCATTTTCAATCAAGTCCAATGTCAGTGAACTTACTCCCCTGACACATATACACAAAATATAGGGATATGCCTTCTCTGGATTTACCAGAGATTTACCAGCACCCACAGAAGGTGAGGCTCTGCTGTAAGAAAGACAGTTCCTCACCTCTGCTATAGATCCTGCCTGTGGTGCATGTGTATGTGTCAGAGGCCTAATGTTTTTTGTTTAGTAGTTGGTGTTGAGCAGAAAGTGTGCCCTTTATCCCTATACAACTAAAAGAAAATTAAAGAAAGGTAGAACTGCATCCTAACAGCCACTTTTTTCCATAAAAAGACCGAAACTTAGTTGTTAAAGAGCATATAGCAGGGAGAAAGTGGCTTGGAGATACTTGCACACAAAGACTGAAGAATCAAAACTGCAGAATTACAGTCACTTTGAAACCACTTTAGATGTGTTGTTGATATTGATTCTAAGTGAATTCCCAAAGATAAATTAGCAATTCTACAAAAATGACCAATGTAGTCCTCACTACAGATTCTAGAAGATGTTTCCCAAATCTGGCACTCCGTCTGTCTGTCAGGTTACAAAGTAAGGTAATGCAAATGCAGTAGCCTGAGAAAACATTTTAGCCTCTGTAGAGTGTGCTAAAACAAGAGGATAGCCCTGCTAGCTGACAGGATTTGTCAGAAAACTGTCCTAGGACAATTCTCCAGGGGATGTGTTTCTTTCTATGCTATGAGCTGTCACAAAGCACATCTATCCTGAGTAATGTATCATTGCACAGAGATCTCTAAGCTGATGCCTGAAGTAGGTATGTGGTAGACAGTGGCATGGCTAGAATCACAGTTGAGCTTAGTTGAGCTAAGTTTTTTCTTAGTTCCTTACTACATGACTACACCAGTTTGTCCAAAGGATTTTGAAGATGCTGCTGTAATCTGGGCCCTGGGTAACTCAACAATGGACCTATAAAGTATTTAGTTTTATTTTGAGGATTGAAGGTCCCCATGATATCTAAGGTGTGCATTCAGAATTGTAACATGTAGAAGTACAGCTCAGGAAAAAGACCCTGAGAAACTACAAATGCATTGGCATTTACATTAGTAGCTATTATAGTTAATCTTGTATGAGGGTTTATTGTTGCAAGATCACACCATAAGGAGAATCTGCTGGAAGAGCTTGCTTTTTAACAAATTTGCTTTTCTGAAATGATAATAACAATACTTTTTGATGGAAAGGTGGTAAACAAAGAGGCTATCATAGATCTGACAAAATTTGACTTATCTTTGACTCATCTTTGGATTTCCAAAATGGAGGTGAATCACTGTAAGAAAATAAACACAAATTAAATTTACGAATACACATATTGTACAGTCACAATGATGACTACAGGCTAACATATCTAATTTCAAAAGGTAAGTTTTGTCTAAAAAATATAAAGAACACAGATTTCTGAAAATAAATCTGAGATGGGCTAAGACTTTATTTGGAACCTCACACAGAAAATGATTTTCATTTAATTTTGTAGAAACAGAATGATAATGATTACTTGATTTATATTTTATATTCCAGTCAAGCATAAGGGATTTTTCCAGCACTGCTTTGGCATCAAGTGAAAAAATTTTCCTTGTGTCTTTGAAAGCATACCTAGACCATTTCACGGCACCTAACTAAACAATGTAACAAAAAACGCAGCTAATCTGTGGAATCCTAAAGGTCTTCTCCTCTGCAGTATTTTCTTTTTCTGACATTCTTCTGTCTGGACCTACAAAAAGTTAATCCATCTCAATTAAAATACAAAGAACCAAAGCTGTGACACAACATAAAGGAGTGTATAATCCATCTAATTTTTCTGATCAGCCTCTCCCATTATTTTTCTCTCTGCTTCCTGAGTTTGGCTATCCAGTTGCACTTCTCTTTTGGTGTGGTGTATCTTCTCTCACCTGGCTTAACATTTGTAATAGGGCCCAACATACAACTTAACAGGAGGCTTGTCTTCTGGCCAGAGGGCATTTGGCCAGCTAGACCTCTTTTCTGAAGTGAAAGGAGTCAATCTGTGCCTCTATCCCCAGTTAAACTCTTCAAGAGCACATTTTCATTGTCCTAACGTCCAGTAGAAGATGATTAGGTCAATATTGCCTCAATTTGCTGATACTACCATTTGAAAATGAGAAACAATATTTCACTTTCCAGAGGACAAGAGGAATAAAGTGCGATCCAGAGCACGAAGTAGAAGAGATCACCAGCAAACAAGCTCAGGAAGCTAGCTCATCATACTGTGCAAAGGAGGAGTAAAGCAGCAAAAGCTGTTCTAGTAAACTTCTATTTACTGGCATGCTGTTGAGCAATGGGTTTGGCAATATTCAGACACACACAAATTCTCACATGTATGTACAAAAACACAGAGAAGTCCCTTAGAACTGAGAGGCAACTGCAGGTGGTGCTCAGAAAAGGAAAAATATTGTTGGTCTTTCAATTTGTGAGGTTATCGTTGTTCTGCACAGCACCACCAACAGCAACTTAGAGCCAAATCTATTTAAAAACAGTAAAGGCAGAGAAGTGAAGTTGCCTTTGGTTGTGCTTTTTTTTCTCTTTCCCGTTGTAGCTTCCTCTTTCTCTTCACCAGCTCAGCACTGCTGGCAGCTTTTTATAAACCACGATTCCTACTGCTGTCAGCTTGTTTGGAAACTACATGGTGAGCTCAGTCCAGCAGCCACTGCTGTGGGTTTCTGTTTAATTGCAGACCAAATTTGCTTTAAACTCTGTACCTCTCTTCATCATTTTCATTCCAAAACATTCAAAGAGATCTGCATATTCCTAAATACTCATTGCAAAGCAGAATTTTGCAGTAAACATATACAGTTAGCATCGACTAAAAGTGGAAATGCATTCCCATAAACAAGTAGTAAAAAAGTTCTATCCAATGTACATAGGAACAGTGGCCTCTGGAAGGTTAAACAGTAGCAGGGTGATCAGTAACGCAGTTATTCTAGTTGACTGTAAACTGCAGTGATCTTACAACGTGATATAATGATGAGAACATACTGCTGTGAAGCAACAAGAAATGCTGAGATCCTCATTTGTAAAAGAACCTTCTACAGTACCTCAGACATCTTTAAAACTGGAGACAGTGTGGATGGGTCAGTAGAGCACAGTCCAGAAACAGTCTAGAAATATCACAGTTGTACAAAAAAGGAATTAAAAAGCTTCAAGTCATAAGATCAAGGAGAGCCTATTAGGAAAGAAGATAGAAGCAACCACAGTAAACAATAGGAGCAGGGCTGAGGAAACACTACAGGGTTGGGAAAATGAGATACACAGCACCAGCACTTCTGAGGTCTTCACTTCTGCCTGCTGCAGAAGTAAAATAAACAATGACAAAAGTAAATTTTGTCATTGTTCTTGTGGAGAAAAATGTGGGTACTAACTTGGGACAGATGCTTCTTAAGAAAGCAGAAATCCTACATTGAAGGATGATGACAATATCTTGGCTAGTGGAAAATGGTTCTCAAAAGAAAAGCCTTGCAAAGAAAAGAAAATCAGTAAGTTCCCCCAGGTCAGAAAGTTCAAAAGCTCTTTCACTTGCAGAGCTCGCAAATGTTCCAATGTAGATACAAACATACACAGAACCTGCATTTTAAATTTAAGCTCATTGATCTGTTATTTTTCTCAGATCCTTCAGAAATGCTCCATGGACTTGCAGAGGCCTGTATTTCATGAGCTGAAAAGTCAGTAAATCATGGCTGGAAAGTACAGATCTAAATAAAGTACTAGTTAAGCTAAATTTAACATATATATTAGTGAGTTAAACAAAAACATCAAAATTAGTAATAATGTGCTGCAACTATCAACTATGTTAAATTTAAACACACAATCCAGTATTTGAATTAAATTTAAAACAAAAGATTAAAGCTTTATATGTAGGTGAGGTCTGTGACTGAAGAGGCAAAAAACTTGAGTAAACCAAGCATTATAGCAGTGGGAATAAGGTAACTGCGGAAAAGATGAAACTCCATTAATCAGCAGAATGCTTTTTGTAAGTAATGTAACTTGCATGTGCTCACGCTGTAAATAACCGTGCATAATATCGCAACAACTGAATTGTAACTATCTCAGTCCATTGTGTTAGCAGTCAGACATTGCTAACAAGACCTTTCTCAACAGACATAGCACTAGGAAAGTCTGTCCCCTTCTCAGCTGGCAGGAATCCTGCAATCTGGGGACAGTCAGCTGAGTTATAAATACTCAGCTGTGGCTCTGTTTTGGTGTCTACTCCTCTGTCTCCTACCATCTCCTACTCAGAAAAGAACCATTTCCCTTTTCTTAATGACCACTGAAATAATTTAGGGAATTTCCAGCACACCGTGTGCAGATTCTGATTCACTTTAACCCCAGAAAATGTTTAACTCCTTCTGGGAATTATTGTGAATTGATCCAGTTCTACATGGTGAGATTCCCAAAGTTCCTCTTTCCCTTTTTCCCCTTCAGCCATACACATGCATTTAGCATCCAGATCATCTGCCCCTCTGCACTTCTATAATGCATGTCTTGCTCTGAAATGACATCTTCCTACCTATGCAGACTTAAACTCTCCACACTGTTAATTTGATGTGATCTATGGAGGTTTCTTCTCCTAAAATGGGAAGACAGGTTAATTTTCTGAAATGTGTCTATACCTGTTGGCATGTACTTCTGTAACATTCCTTAAAATGCTACAATGCTTCCACTAAAACAAAAAGGTCAAAACAAATTCCTCTTAATTTTTGCTTTTCTTTAACCTCCTTCTTCTAGCACAGTTATTCTTACTCTCACTATAATTGGGTCTCGTCTCTATGTTGTCTATTGTTGACACTATGCCAGTATAAACACGCAGGTTCTATCAAGGATGTGCAACTTCCTCTTGCAGGACACCTGTAAGCTTCTTTCCTTTCCTTTCATTACATACACTCTCATCCATCAGTGGTTTGAACTGTGGCAGCCTATTCTCTCTGGACTTTCTAGCTTCAGATGAATTTTTTCATTTTCCATTTTTTCTTCTTCTTTCAGCAGAAGGGGGAATCAAAATACTGATCAAATGAGCTTTTTTTTTTAATTTCATTTTACACTAAATTTGTCTGAATTACCACATTTAAAAAAAAAAAAAAAAAAAGTTTTGAAGTCCTTTTAAGACTCTTCACAAATCTGGACCTCCCTAGTCTTTGTTCAATTCCTATTTTTACATTATACTTCTGGCAAGGAGAAGAGTTTAACACAGTTCAGTACAGTTAAATACTGAACTGGAAGTATAGAAAATTGTTTGCATTAAATTGAAAAAAAAATTCAAGTTAAAAGACCAGTAGTTGAATCAGGGGGAATAAAAGGAGGCAGTTACTACTTCTGTAAGAAAAAAGTCACTGCAGATAATATGCTACAGAGTCTGTTATACACAAATTGTACAGACCTGTCCTAGTCATATACACATAAAGCTGCAGCATGGGGCTTGCACATATGCTCCACCTCCTATAAAGCCAAATGTCTCCTGGGAGGATGTACACAGAGTATTGGTTTTACATGCTTCAGTTTTTCTGTTTAAACAAAATTCCAAACACAAAGTCCTTATGAAAGTGGTGGCAGAGAACAGGAACCCCAGTTGTAACCCAGAATCTACCTAAAGAGTTGGTTATTTGTGAATAGTGCTTTTCTTTTTTGATTTCTGGGAGATGAATAATTGATACAAACCCAATAAGATGCAAGTGCAAAATCACAAATTCATAGATACAACTGCACTCTCAAAACAGAACCTAAACAATTACCTAAATATCCAAATCAAAGTTCCCAAAGCAAAGATATCTCTGCCACAGCTGAAGAGGGTCCCTACGGACCCAGGGATAGAATACCAGTGGTGGGTCTAGATCAGTGACTTAAACTGCAGTTCTAAAATGTGTTTTTTTCTGTCTCTACAGGTAAGGCCTGTTGAATCATATTGCATCTCATCTTTATAGTTTAATTTTTACTATTAAAATATCTGATTTGAAAGGAACATCTCAGGGAAACTGATAGATGAACGTACATGGAAATGAGATATTGGGCATTAGTTTCAAGACACAACTCTATGAGGGGATATTAAACATAAGTGCTTGCATCTTACTAATGCAATCTGAATCTGGAACACAGACTTCAAGATTAGATGGTGTTAAAGCACTCTTCCTTGTTAATTCCTTGAATTCATACAGAAGTGTCCAGATTATAAATGAGTAGGAATGTGAATTGAAAATCCACTGCCTGTAAATGAAGAAAACAGTTAAACACTAATATCAAATCTTTAATTTGTTTGAATGTGCCTTA